CTTGCCTTTAGAACAACCCCTAACAATCCTACTGCACCATAAGCATTTTTCATTTTCTTCAGCAGGAAAAAACAACATAAAGTTAAAAACATTTCTTCTCTTCCAGACGGCAATGGAAGTAATGCAGTTCAGCAAGGAGGAAGTTCGGGAAGTTCTGAGGCTGCTCGCTGGGATACTACATCTTGGGAACATAGAATTTATCACTGCTGGTGGGGCGCAGGTTTCCTTCAAAACAGGTAAGATCCTGCCTGCTTTCTGTGGCTTTTTCCTCATAGGAAACTTCAGCCTAAAATATTGACTGTCTGGCCTTTTGCAGAAAAAGTTTTCTGACCTCTGCTATAAAGAGCTACAGAATTTTAACTGTTTATGACATGACGTGTCAGTAAATGGTCAAAGAGTCTAAGAAGTTATTACTGAATTGGGAAGGTGTCTCTGTTCTTGTTCTTATTAAGGAACAAGGAAAATGGGCTAAATAAGTGGAAATAAGAGCAACAAGGATTTGATGTAGGAAAAAATATCATAAGTTCAGTGGTGTAGTATTTTGCTCTCATTTTCTGTGGTTACTGAGGGGTGGCGTGTAACTAAGACTGTTAGTTTTGTAAGTAGCAATGCTGGGTTCATAGCCCAGTTCTGCCACAGGCTGGTCCCTGTGTGATTTATCCCCTCAGCACTAGTGACTTCTCATCTGTAGAGTGCCTCAGAGGTGTGTTGTCAAGATAGAGTGAGTTAATAATGAGGTTATTTCAAAAAATTCTTGGAAGAATAAAATTGAAAGATAACACGACTCTTTCCCTGAACTTTTTGAAGTACTCTCATACATGTACAGCTGTGTTAGTTGTCATTTTTCTGGAGTGATTTATGTATTTATTTTTTAAACTTTTCTGGTGGAAGTAATGGATGAAGTCATGGAAGCTAGGAATTGGATAAGTTCAAGTTCAAAATGGCTCGAGAGGGGCCCAGTCCTGTAGGTCAGTACTTTTCAAACATTTGGTGCTACCTAGTACCTCTTAATAATCTCAAAAATCATAGCACTCCAAGGAGCTTTTCCTTATGTGGCTTATATCTGTTGATTTTTGCCTAATTAGAAATAAAAATTGAGGCATTTAAAAAATATTAATCATTTAAAAATAACAGCAATAAACCCATTGCATATTAATATGATTATTGTGTTTTTATTTAAAATACTGTTTTCCAAAACAGAGAAAAGTCAATGAGAACAGTTACATTGTCTTACATTTTTGCAAATTTCTCTAATGTCTGACATAATAAAAGACAGCTGGATTCTCATACCTGCTTCTGCATTCAATTTGTGGAGATACCTTATGTCATGTAACGTTGGGAAACTTTTCTGTATACTGGTGAGAGAATGAGAGTTTAAAAGCAAGTAACATCTTGGTATTATTAATGAAAACAGTCACAACCTCCGACAGGGTCTTGGGGACCCCATGAGGTTGCTAGACCACACTTTGTCCAAGCACTATGTTCTATGCTACTAACCAGAATTCCTAGGTAGTGAATAACTTAGCAATAAAATGTGTGTTCTGTAAATTCTGCCTGAGGGATTCAGGAATGTTCTCCGCTTTAAGGTGTTGCTGTGTGTAGTTAGCTTTGAGCCCATTTGAGGTCCAGTGGCCTGTTTCTTCTTGGGGTGTGGGTCCATCTTTGCCATATTCCTTGTTTCCAGCTTTGGGCAGGTCTGCAGAGTTACTTGGGCTGGACCCAACACAGCTCACGGATGCTCTGACCCAGAGATCGATGTTCCTCAGGGGAGAAGAGATCCTGACGCCTCTCAATGTTCAACAGGTACACGTGCTTTTCCATCAGAACTTACCTTGTGAAAGTCCTGGGTTTTCAGATCCATGGCTTTAATTCGAATAAGTAACTACAGTGAACTGTTCAAATGACCTTGGTTCATGATTAAAAATTGAGATGATATCCAAGTGTTGGGAATAGACAAAGCTGTTGAATTGTTTTCTAAGAGACCATGTAACATAGTGTTTAAGAGGACAGGATCTAATGCAGATCACCTGAGTCTAAGTCTTGACC